CAAACGTACAAATTATCATGATAATTATATGCATCCTTCACGTTGTAGTTAATATTATTTTTGTCTGGCCCACTGCGCTTTCTATAATCTTTTATCCTCTGTAGTTGTATTTCCCTGAAATTCACAAATTCCTTCGCTTTGAGACGATACTTAACTTTGTGGTAAGCATTTTTTTCAATAAAAAGTACGTTACTCTTGGTATTTCTTCTGTGTACATCATAACATATTTTTGCATCATGCACACTACAAAAGATGGTGATAGCTGCCAAATAGGTTAGGATAATGTTAATCATGTTTTTCGTTTCGCATCGGTTGAATATTATGACACTATATTATCATCCGCCTGCGAAAAAAACTTGTACCATTTGGATTTCTCATTTTTTGCACATTGGAAAGGGAAAAGCGAAAAAAAAAAAAAAAAAAAAAAAAAAAAAAAAAAAATGCGTTTGCACCTTGGTTATAATAAAATGGTTTGAAAAAGTGATGCAGTGTGAATGCGCATTTTTGGTGATTCCGCAATTGATGTGCTCATTCCGCGAGAAAACGCTAACGTTGAATTTTTAATTTTATCCAATTATATGCATCCACCATTTGGGGGGGAAATTTTCCAAACAAAGTGCATATTTTGCAGTGCGCTTTTTCACCCCATTTTAATATCCCATTTCCATTCCATTTTTTAAACGCGTTTTTGCGTTTCATTCGCCATAGCGGACAGCCAGGAGGGTGAAAATCCATCCCCTCCGTGCAGCGCGCAAAAATGCTTTTCACAATACATGATACGGAGTATGCCAAACATATACGTGTACATGCATATACCTTTCTTTGCATACACCATTTGACAGTTCGTTATTTCCCCGGATGTATGTTAACCCACTTTTGCTTTACCCCTTTTTTGGTTTCATCTGTAGCCCGTCAACAACTACCCGTCGGCCGCTAGCAGCTACCAGCTAGCCGCTACTTCTGACCCTTCATCCATTATCCCCTCCTTTGTTATGCCTCCCCTGTCCCTTTCATCCGCCGTCCATATAGCTACACTTGCGAACACGCCGAGTGAACAAAATGTTGCACAAAAATATATACTACATAAAGTGAAGCGAAGTATAAGGGTATACTGTTTATATTTATATATATATTTTTTTAAATGTGTTAGTAACCTATTAATTACCCCTTACGTTTTGCAGCTTTGTGATTTTTTTTTTTTTTTTTAATTGCCCATATGTCATGTCTCATCTTGGCACAACAACATTATTAAAGACTTTTTCAGGTCTACAATTTGGCACCATTTGACATTACTTTTTTTTTTTTTTTTT